CAAGGTTATCCTGGAAAAAAGTCTAATTTCTCCTAATCCAAATTACACAAGAGTTTAAAAAAAATAATAATAAATAAAAAATACGTACATGTCTGTCATCTGGGTCATGACGACCACAAATGGGCTTAAATTGCAAGACAGCCAGACTCTGCTCAGCTTTCTTTGGAAGACATTTCAAAATCTATCCATGTTATTTGGAATGTGTGTAGGAGGATGGAACTCTATGCCACTTAAATACATCAGTGCTCCAACTACAGATTACTCTGGTGCCAACCAACAGGATTGACAAAGACTCATGGAGACATTTACCCCATTTACACTACCCTTGAACAACCGTGCCGAGACCGGTCCGAGCTCAGTAACTGAGATAACTTATCGTGTGTAAATGGAAAGCAAACTGAACTGAACCAAGCTAGACACAACCGAACCGATATAAATGCAGACCAGTTCCAGAGGTGGGCTCGGCTCGGTTTTTCCCTGACTCGGTTCTCTGATAACAAGAGTGCATGAGCAGAGCGCGTCATCTCCATCTGGCTACACATCGGGATTCACACTCCATTCCAGTAGTTGGCGGTAAACAGAAACAGAAGAACAACTTCTTCTTAAACTATAAACAACCGAAATCTTCTCCACGCAAAATTTTAAATAATGGCATTTTAAATAACACCAAAGTACAGCAATAATCAAGCATAACTTTCTGAATGTGACGGGCGGCGCCATTTTGTTTTGCTTGATTCCCTCTGTCTTTTTCTTACCGTTTTATGGCGGTTGGCAAGCAGCTTTTGGTGCATTACCGCCACCAACTGCTTGATTTCCTCCTTCAATACTGGCAGTAATACTGCAGATTGTCACTAGGAGGCGAGGAACCGAGATAGCGTGATGTGTAAACTGTCGTTAGAACCGAGCACGGCCTGGTTAACTGATCCGAGCTCGGACCGGTCTTGGAATGGATCGGTTTTTCAAGGGTAGTGTAAATGGGGTATATGTCAACTCCTGGATAGATGTAGAAAGGCTGGTTTCCTTCAAATTAAAGCCCATTTGTGGGTCCTTACATGTTAGGGTTTTTTTTTAAATCAAAGTTATTTATTTTTAAAGAGAAATTACCAGGTATGGTTATCCTCTCGTCTCCATAAAACTGTCAAATGGTTTGAATCATTTTAATGAGTTCTTGTTAATTAGTTTTTTTTTTTTTTTTTTTTTTTTTTTTACATTTAATCAATTGTCAATCAATTGCCTACATCATTTTGGCAGGATATTGTTGTTTTAAAATGGCCTAGTCAAATTTCAGACTTAAATTCAATTGAAAAGCTGTGATGAGACTTGAAAGTTTATGCTCGCCAGCAGAGCCATCCAATCTAAGTTTGAGCTCATCAAAACAAAATGACAAAAGGGACAACCCCCCAACATCTGAGGTAAATTGAACTAAAAGGCAGACCCACGTACAAATCAGTGCTTCAGCACAGCATTAATTAACAGCTGGGAATCTTTTATGTTAGAAAAATTTTTTTCTGGAGAATGTATAAATATATTTGAACTGTGTAGCTTGCTCAATTTATCTATTACAGCTCCACTCCTGCCCCCAAGTCCACTGGTCAATTTTTCCTCCAGAGATTAAACACTGGCCTCTGAGTCTCCCATCATCACCTGTTTCTCCTTCCGTGTCCCTGTCCTTCCCTGCCTCCACGCCTCTCTAGACAGAGTGTGATAATACAGGCCTAATCCCCCTCTTCTCCCAATCCCTCCGTCAAATGAAAGAAGGGATATAAGCATATTACAAATCTCATTACCAGGCTTTAGGTATGCCTGTGTGCGCAGCCTGTGCTGCATACAACTACCCCGTCAGCTGCTTACAGTAGGTGAGTGGGAGGGCTGTGCACAAATGCTGACGATGGAGTGTTTGATCGTTCTGTATCTATACCAGTTAAACAGTTTTAAATTTGTTCCTGTTTGTGCGTTTCATGCGAGTAAGCTGGGCAATAAAAGCTGTAAACACAAATAATCTGCATAACCAAGATAAAAGAAAAACAAAGTGGTGCACAGAAGCCCAAACATTGGAAATTATTCCATCTCATCCCTCTGCACTTCATTCCACTGAGCACGTTTTTAGATGTCGGATCCGATTAGTCAGACATGATTATGATCCATATTATTTCATTTTAAATTTGTGTGTATAGAGCGTGTCGATGCAGAGCAGGGTGCTGATGACCATGATAGATCCAAAGAGCTCAGGAAAGGGGAACGTTCACATTTATGGCCGATTGCTGATCAAAGTAAAAAATGAAGTCAAAGATTTCAGATATTTTTTATAAATGGCTCATCATGCTTTAACCATTGTTTTAGATTTGCATGCTTTATAACCAATTATCAACCCAGTACCTGCTTAATTTCAGAGGTTTTCTTTTTGCAAAGGCACCTAATGTTAAATTAATGTTCAATTCAATATTGAAATGCACTGTGCCACTCAGCTAAAGCCAATAAGGACTTGCTGCAGGTATTAAATGTGTTCTAACACTAAAGCAGCAAATACACTGGCAGTGTAACATCGCACAAATCACAGCAAAGCGGCATACCGGTATGTTTGAAAATTTTTTTACGAGAAGCTGAAGAGAATGTTCCACAGCAACTGGTTCAGCAATGCTGCTCTGAGCAAAGACAAGCTTTTGTGACATGGTAAGTAAATGACAGGACTATGTGTGAAAGCTTTGAAGTTAGAAGTTATATATAAAATCACTTAAAATCAGCAACTTGACCAATCTGATGAGAAATAAAGTATGTATTTGGTTAGCATGTCACAACTACCAATATCTGCTGCTTAGGCAGTTATACAGTGGAATCCGCTTATAGTGGTTCATGGATAAGTAATCAATCCCTTATATAGATCAAAAGGCTTGGGACAAAATCATTTATATACAAATGCAATTTAAATAATTTGTTTATAGTAATCAAGAAATCCGCTTAGTGTTCTTTTTTGGCCATTTTATGATTGTAATGATGATTTCTGTATGATTTTGTATGATTTCTGGGCGCTGCTTCTGCCTAGCTAGCTCAGAGGTACAAGAGCGCTTTGGTGCGGGTACCAGTGCTGCGCGCAGCGAGGAAGGAGAGGAGGAGGAGGATGAAGAAGAGGAGACTGTTGTCTCTTCCAGACCCGAGATGAGGAATCCAGTTTACATTTTAAAGACTGGTCTCTGGCATGTAGGTTTCAAAAACTTTTACATTGTTTTGAAAAAAAGGTAAACTCAGTGTTGAACACTGGAACCATGGATAAATATGGTAAGGGATTTCTTAATGCAGCGCAGCAGATCCGCAACACAAAACAGACAGACTAGCTTTAATTTTCTTTAGCCTATGCAGTCACTTCTATGTTGTTATTCTATGAAACCGTTTGTTTCAAACTTTATTTTCAGACATGTTAAAAAAAAAAATGCACCGCGGCACAGCAGAGACGATGCACAGAATAAGTTGCGTAGGCCTACTGGCTATCAGAGTTATGTCTGCACACTGTGCAGTACCGTGCTGTGATTAAGCATTTGTTTCAAACTTTATTTTCAGACATGTTAAACAAATGCACCGCGGCACAGCAGAGTCGATGCACAGAATAAGTTACGTAGGCCTACTGGCTATCAGAGTCATGTCTGCACACTGTGCAGTATACTGTAATTAAACTTGCATGGTACTGTAAAATTCAGTAATTGCGCAGGCTATCCATTTCATTACATTTTTCTCATTGAAAAACCACACAAATGGCATTAAGATGATATTCTGCATAAAAATTAAGTGAAATAACAAATTAGGTTTTAGTAATCAACCGCTTAGTGTTCAAATTGGCTCTGGATCAACATGATAACTATAAGCGGATTCCACTGTAACTGCAGAAAAAGCAAGACACAGATTGGCCTGAAAAACCTGTGAATCCAGATGTGTTTTTGTTTCTTCCTAGCCAAAACTGGAGAATATATACGCATCTGAAATGAGAAACTCATCCTAAATTAGGAATAGCGCCATGTATTTGCAGTCATTGAATGAGCATATTACACATCTACTGTACAACATTTAACTGCTGAAAACCGAAAACTGGCAGGCGTAATCTACGCTTAGCACGTGCGTATGCTGCTCTGCTGCGCTTACGGGCGTAACATACCCAGTGTGTGTCCCGCTTAACAGTGACATGTCTGCCTCCATTCATCCTTACATACATAATCCTTTACAGATGAGTTACCTGTAATTGATTTTCAAGATTTCAAAACTGATCCATTATTATTCATAAGAGGTCACCAATATGACTTGTTCATAGTTCTAAAGCTACAGCTTAGATCTTTGATCTTACTTTATTATATATATATACACAATTTTATTCTGCTGTAATTTTTAAATTCAGTTCTATTTTCCCTCCAAAGAATAAATTTCATGGATCTGCAAAAACCTGCATTGTAAATATTGATTAAACACCTAAGAATAGTCGATTTTAGTACTTGAACTTTGAATGACTAAATGCAGAATGATACTGTGGCTGAGTTTAGAAAAGAAAAAAAAAAATTCAGAGATGCACTGAGTTTCTTTGTATTTTCCCTCCCATCAAGTATTTCAACAAGCTCAAAAATGCAGCAAACTCGTTGCATAGCAGGGAGGAAAGCAGAGAATTTCCACCATTGAGAACAAGAAGCTGTGATCACAGCTCAGCGAGGCACGGGGGGTAAAGCCCTTCGCTCCCAGAGAGCCGAACAGAGCTGTTCAGGAAGGCCTCCCTCTGCCTCCAGCTATCGGACAGCGCGACAAGCCCATTTGTCTATTGCTGGATTCTTTTATCCAAAGAGTATCTACAAGTGATTAAATGTTTTGCCATTTAATCACTTGTAGATACTCTAATATATATTTTTTCTTACGCAGATAAAATTTATAACCAGTTGTAATAGATGACCTATTATACATTTTTATTGGTATTTCTGATTCTCTAATAACTACGCAAGGTTAGTAAGTCTAAATGCCTCTGGTTGACATACCCAAGGTAACTGATGGGACGACTGGATCCGTGGAGGACGGCTTGGCCTTGACTGGAATAGGTGTGGTTGGTCCATTAACCATCACATGACCTGGATACCAAAATAAAAACAACTTATTTCAAAGAGAGTCTAACACAATGCATAAAAAATAAAGCCAAGTTAAACATTATAATTCATGTTTGCTTACTGCCTTGTTTGTAGATTAGAAATATTCACCACAAATAATGAATTATTTTACCACCCAAGGCTTGTTGGAAAGCTTTTTCCATGTTTGGTAAATCAGGTTTTATCTTTTGCTTTTAAAAATGCTAATATATATAATCATGATACCGATAAGTTTGTTCAAGATGTAGAGGTATTAACCTTGAATTTCAGCTTACAGAAGCTGATTGAACTCTATCATTTAGCCATTTGAACTAGAAACAACAGCGGTACTATAAAATAGAAGGCAGATTGGAAGAAAAGGTAATATACTTGTTGGATGATCATGTGGTTAATATTGCACTGACCCAGGTAGTGAAGCAGTTTCTGAGCTCGGTTCTGAGTGGGTTTGAGGTTGAAGAGTTCAGGGTTCTCGTCAATGAACTGGGTGTCCACGGTGGAGTGCAGGAACTGGCTGTTGGACAGGACGTTCTGGAGGAATGGGATGTTGGTCTGGAAAAGAAAAGATGGCAGAGAGAGAGAGAGACTGTTAGAATGGCTCTGAACGGAAAAGGGACCGATTTGATCCAATTTCATCATCAGATAGGACAACCTAGTTTCAAAGTCATGTCAATATGATCTTGACCTTGTTTCACCAAAATATGAAACTGTTTTAAATTACTTTTTCAATCTCATGCATTCAATCTAAGGAAAATACAACACCGTATCAGTAACCTATATAAATTACCTCAGTCTATTAGAAAAATAACATTTTGATATATATTAAAAATCTCTTGTACACATCGTAACCGTTTAGATAAAACTTGTTAAGACAGTTTGTACACCTTTAGGTAATGCATTTTTGAATAATTTTGCCTAAATAGCAAAAGTCTTCCTAATTGAGGTGTTTGATGCATTTACCCTCAATAGCTCTTATTGCAGTAGTGTTTTGATGGATCTGCTCATGATTGCTAACTGCAAACATGGCAGTTAACTCTCCTCAATTACCACAAATGGAAGGAAGACATTCAGTGTTACCAATCTTTGTGGTGGATGTAATAATCTTAAAGGTCAAATAACATTTTAAACCAAAGCAACAGCTTGTTTCTTAGCTGCAACTGCTAAAATAAGAAATAATACCTTAACCCATCACCACCATTTGACTTCACTAAAATATTAGTTTTCTGCTTAATACATTTGTGAAACTTCTCCATTCCTCACATTCAAATATTTGTCTTTAAAACGCATGGATAGGCTTATTTTCGGTAACTAATGTTAGACATCCCAAGATCAATTAAATTGTCAAAAAGGTTTAGAATATGTTTCCATCATTTTGTACATAACTGTCTTAATTTTAGTATGACTTTTATTAATCTGTATCTCAATGATGCAAACTTAGCTGGCATCATTTGGTGCAAAAAGAAGCTGAATATGGTGTAAAAATGTCACCATTAGACGTCTTTTAAGTTAAAGTTTCTATAAAATAGGAGCCACCCAAGTCAATGTTTATAATGCATGTTCTTTCAAAAAACAAAGGTAATCAATTCTTTTGCCCATTAATTGTAAATGAACATTTATGTCAACATAAAAATCCTAAGTATACTTGTTACTAAATGTATAAAAGGCTTAAGGTTGTCCACTATAATTTTGAAACCCCGAAGTAGCTGCTTTAAAACAAAAAAATGTTGATTTTAGCAGCACAGTTAGCAAGAATAAATACTGAATGATAATTTTATTGGCTAATACACTACTAGTACAAAATGTATTAAGGGGCAATAAGCTGAATTTCCCCACAAGGTGGGATGTTGAGCACAGTATGTAAACCAAAACAAGATGTGTAACAAGCAACGCCTCTCAACATCCACTCCAACTGGAACCCCTCAACCCATCGCCTTTTATGTACACATTTCCAAAGGATAAAAACACAACAAAGTAGTCATTAAATAACTTTAAATTAGCAAGAAAACTTTAGCAAAAGATGTTGCTCGATCCACTGGACAATTTGCCCCTGTGACCTGAAGGCATTTAATAGTCAGGGAGGTGCTAAGCTCATTCATTTATGGGTTTTATGCATGTGCTGCCATTCTTTATCATTTTTATTGATAAAAAAAATAAACTATTGTTCATTGTTTTAAGTAAAACCATTAAGAACCAGAAAATATAAGTATTGATAAAGACTGGAATCATTATGACCCCAAAGAAATCTAAACCTCCATTAAAAATATCCCTACAGTGCACAATTTACAAATCGTCTTCCATCAAGTCAAACACAAAAAAACCTCATCTTGCTGGGTATAAAGCAAATCCAGAGAACAATTATACCCCAGTTTTGCACTTTAACCATATAAAAGTGCATTTATTAGACTAGAATGCTTCATTTGAAGTTCAGACAAACAAACCATGCTGTGTTTACATATTGGTAAACAAACCATAGCTTCACACAACCTCATTTTAATCCTGACAACTACTGCATTAAAAAATACCAAACACACAAAGCAGAGAAAGCCAGCTGTTGAAATTAATTACATTTGTTTTTTTGAGAGTTGTTTGCTGCAGAATAATCATTGAGGCAATTTAAATCTGAATAAATAGAGAGAGACTGAGTGAATCTGAGACAAACAGACGGGAGATAAGTCATTGTTCTTCTAATTACTTGATTTTTTGCTGCAAGTCCTTCTAATAATTTGTGGTTAGATTGCGCTTAATTGCTGTTAGAAGTTCAAAGATGAGGTTAAAGAGAGAAATGAGGATGACAGAAAAAAGGAAAGGTATTAACAGAGAGAAAAGCAGCAATTTGGTTAAGAGGATGTGTGATTATTGGAGCTACTTGGATATTAGAAATTGTATTGCTCTACCTCTTCAACTATTTGACAGCTTTCTCATGACCCAACATGTGACAGTGTGAAACAACAACCATTCTATACACACACAGAGCTCAGCGATTAAGACCCAGAGGAACAACCTGCTTTGGGATGAAAAGCAGCTTTTAAGATCGTACCTTAAGGCCGAACGGCATTAAATAGAATTTGTAAGACAAAGGATACGTAAACAATCTTTACCAGATAAGTGGGATTCAGAGAAACACTTGAACCATTTCATTGACCTGAAATAACTCCGACCGGGGTCAATGAGATGCCAGTTTAGCAATAAACAAGCCACGCTGATTTTATACGTAGCAACAGAAGCACCATCAGAGAGGAGTGTTTGCTAAAAAATCATTTGGCCTGAATAAACCAAACATGTCAGGAGTTTGGAAGCAGCAATACAGATGCAGGGTTGGATAAATGTCAAAAGATGAAAACAGGAACAACCTCAAGCAGGCTTAGACTTGTACAATATTTTTCATCTATCTTATCCAATTAACCCATTAAACCCCAATAGACCTTTTGCCCCTTTTAGATGCATTACGGTACATAAGTGCTAAGTGAAAATGTTTCCTACTCCATTAGTCTATTCAGTATGAGACAAGAAAAGGTCTGTGAGGAACTGATGTTTTCTCCAGCTGTTACAGAAATGAGCAGCACACAATGTTGCCCCTCCTCCACATGTTGCTGGATCATCACATAAGAAAATGCTTCAGCATAATTCCCCAATATAAAAAGATTGGAAACATGAAAATGGATTTTTGTGTAAACCAGCACACCATGGCCATTGTTTTTTTGCTATATTAAACAAAAAATAAATTCTGAAAGCATTCTTCATTTAATTTTCAGCTTCCAACAAATCTTTGACCAAATATCTCTATACTCCTTTAACATTAAGTTCAAAAACAAAAAGTTATTTTGTAAATACTAGAACCATAAATAATGAAGCAGGTGCTTTAGACCAAGGGAAAGTGTAGGTTTGATTTCATTACATTTTCCTGGTCAGCCATACCTTAGGCAAGGAAACCAGGCAGTTCCAGAGTCCTGGCGTTTCACATCTTAATGAGAAAAAGCTTCCAACCCATATCTCCTACAGCTCCTTTAGCAGCACACTTGTGCACTCAAACAAAATGTATACTTCTTTAAAAGAAAAAAAAAAGTTTTTTACCTCGTTATATTCACTAGTCATCCTTTTACAACTCCAAGGAACTTATGAATAAACTTTTGTAGATTCATTCATTAAAGTAATGTTTTCTATTCTATAATACAATCTATTATGCCAAGGAGGAAACAATTAAAATAGAGAGTTTAATTTTATTTTAACTTTCTAAGGATGTAATTTGGAAATTCATCCATTCCCACAGCTTGTTTTGCCTTAGTCTCATTAAGGACTTCTAACACTTCTTTCAGAGTAATCTCATTAAAAGTATTTTTAAAAAGAAGTTACTCAACCCATCATGCTTTAATTTCTGAATCTTATCCAGAAACTGATCACTAAAGAACTACTACAAGCATAGAGGCCGGTTAAATTATTCACTCAACATGCTTCAGGAGGAATAAATATAAGATTTGGTCGATCTGCAGTAGGACTGACTCAGCGCATGATAAACTGAGATGTTCTGGGTGTTAGATTTATTTTTAAAATTTGCACAGATCTTATAAAATCTGGAGGCAATCGCGGTCCTGGTGTCACATTTTGAATAATGCAAAATAAAAGGGCGAAAACGTATTAGAATTTAAAATTTAAACATACTGCAGAACAAAGTGCCAAAATATCACATATCCATCACATCATTCTCTAAGTCCATCATCTCTGATGACCTAAAACTGCAACCTGAACTCGTACTTTTAGGGTTTCAGCATCTCAAGATATGCAGCACCACACAAAAAGATTTAGTTTCCCGGCCTGTATCTGTAGGTTTGATTGCTTTGTTCAATAACAGTATGACTAGAATACCTCTAAATCCCAGACCTCGGTTAAAAATTTTATACACAAGTTCCTCTACTCTCCAGATAAAAATACAAGGACAAATTGGGGAGATAACCATGTCCCCAAGCAAGAAAATAAGGTTTTAATTTCTGAATATATAGGAAGAAACAAGTAACACAATTCAAAATGTCTTGTTACAGAGAGGCGTGTAGGAGACCTTAAGGGAAAACTAGTTTGGAGGAAGGGGATTCAAGCGGCTGAGCTGTTCTGCCAAGCCTGCAGCTACAAACCCAGGACCAAAACAAAGCGATCAGTGCCACACAGCAATAATGCCTCAAAAACAGGGGCAGCATTCTCTCGGGCATCTGCAGCGTCCACCAACAGTTACTCTCCTCTGCATCTCCAGACAGATAAAAGTGATGACAACATGGTTTTATGGACTGTTTTTAATTTAAACTAATGGTTTGAGTCAAAGGCAACCCAACTGAGGGCAAACAGCTTGTTTGGTCACATTTGGAAACAAAAACATAACCTTATCAAGGAAAATGTGATGTCAGGAGTCTGGTCTTTTAAACTCATGTAAACTATGCCCAGTACATCATGTTGGACCTATGAGATTGTGTGACCCTGAAGTAATATATTCAAAAGAGGCCTGTGAATGTCTGTTCAAATGTTTGAAAACCTACCTTTTTCTCCCTTACTACAAGCCATCTATTAAA